ATGAACTCGGGAAGAAATCAGACGACCTGACAGAAGGCCAGTAAGACGACTCCCCGAAGAGAGCATCATCGAAGCCGTGAAACGAGAAGACCAAGTGCCAGTGGCGCACTTCATCAAGGTGCACACTGAAGAAAGAAAGAGTCCTAGTCTTAGTGAGAAAAAGAAAGCAGAAGAAAGAAAGAAGAACGGTGTTGTGACAATCATACCAGCGCTAGGCGCATATGAATGTCATAGGCATATTTTGACTTGCCTAGAAGAAAGAGTAAGACGCTAGTCACCAGTGCTATTCAGCTCCCAAGCTATCCACTTTGGAACCACTTTTCTCCCATAGCGCGCTACCCGGTCTGACGTCTAGGTGTTCCGCCCTCCCATGTCCTGCCTATGTCCACCTACCTCCGCTGGTGCATTATATTTCCTTAAATGTCGCTACTCATCAGTCGCAGGTCTTATTACATGTGTCCTCATGCTCCGCAGTGCTGCATGTTCTATTACCTGTCGCTATGTTGTGCCCTCGCCAGTGTCGCTACTATACTCGCCTACGCATCCCGAACCCCTACGCAGTATGATAAAATGACCCGTCCTACATACAGTACAGTACTTCCCTTCCCCAGACCTTTGCTGGTGTCAGAGTCACTTTAGTCGCTATATCTTAGTTTTGGTCCAATCGATTCCGCTCTTGCTAATCTCTCCGATCGCGTGTCACTTGACTTGCTTTAAAGTGTGCGTCGCTAAAGTTGCCTCGTAAAGTTTGATTTTCGCAACGTCGGGATCGCTATCGATAGTTGAGCTATAATCTAGTCGCTATCGGGCATTCCACTTGCACTATCATACCTTATTCCTCGCTTTCCCTTCTTTTGATTTCTTCTCACTGTCACTAGTCAGACGTCGCATAGCACTATCACATAGGACAACTTGCATAGCGCTACTTACTTATACGCACGTTTCTCTGTCGGAACTCACTTGTTGCTAGTCGCTGATCGCTACAGCGCTACTCTTTGGTTTTTGGTCCTTAGGTCGCTATAGGTTATTAGCCCTTCGCATCATCGCTACCCTTGCATATTTGAAGGGAGTTGCTTCAATAGCAGTCCTCTTGGGTCGAATACTACACTCGCGCCTATTTGGATAAGTAGCGCTAGTTTCTAACCAGCCTAGTCACTATTACTCTTTCACACGGTTGTCCTGCATGATTTGGGAATCATGCATGGACATGACTACTAGGTATCCCCCTAAAGACAAAGTCTGTTAGCTTAGTCCTCAGACTAGTCAACCCATACCTTGGTATCAAACCTTGGTTTAATAGTTTCAGTTTTCCCTCAGTGATTCATGAATCCACCATGTTTTGAAGAAAAGTCATATGTGAGATGGGAATCACATAATGACCTAGTTGATATGAGAAGCAAAATGAAGGTTAAGGTATTGCCTTTCCTTTGGCTTATTCACTTTGGCTAGAGAAACCCATAGAGAAAAGTTCAAAGCCTAACAAAAACCTATCTAAAAAGTCCACGTATTGTGTACTATTATTTGTTCCATTATTTCTGAGTTGTTTTCTCTAGTGTTTCTTTACTTTACTTTTCTATTAGGATGCTCTGACTAATCCGATGCTTCATAAAATTGTACCTACAGGGTATGATGTCATAATGATGTCATAGGACTTCACCTACACTCCTGCAGGTATTTTGTTGAAAGATATCATATCATAGTGATGTCATAATGATGTCATGTTCCATGGAATTTGCTAGAACATTCCAATGACTCATAATGACTCAGAATGATGTCATTATCCCACCATGAATATTCTGGAATGTTCTTTTGCACCTGCTAGAACATTCTGCTCCAGTTTTTGGGATATTCTTCTCACATTCTGGAGTCATTACATCACCTTTTTACTTACATAATATTCCCGCACAAAATGTATATAAGGAGAGCCCATTCTCCCCCAAAAAAATAGATCTCCCACTTATTGCATTCAAGAATCTCCCCTTGAGCAAATTGAACTCTCACCTAAGAAGCTTCAGTCTGAACAAATTGCTGCTTACAAAGCCCATTTCCTTTGTAAGAACTGTCCAGACAAGTGCAGGGAAAGTGTTTCCCTTGAGATTACGTAAGTTTCTTGCAATAGAAACCCAGTTTTGTGAGACCAGTGTTCTCACCACGTAGTGTTTACTGACCAACACGAGCTTTGGTCATCGTTGTTATTTGTGAGACCAGCGTTCTCACCAGGTATTTGTATACTGACCAACACGAGCTTTGGTCATTGTTGTTATTTATCATTGTTTTTCTATTTGTCATTTGTTGTTATTTGTGAGACCAGCGTTCTCACCAGGTATTTGTATATTGACCAACACGAGCTTTGGTCCACGTAGTCACATTTGAGACCAGCTTCTCAACAGTTAACCGTATATTCAGGAAACCAGTTCAAGTGTCTAGACGGTATATCCTAGACAATCCCATAGTTTCAATCAGAGATAATAAAGCTCCGGCTAAGTTAATCTAACTGATTGGTTTAGCGAGCCTCCCAAGAACTCACACATTATCTACCACGAAAGAAGAAAAGTCGTAGACCATGTTAATCGAGGACTGGCAAGAAGTCTTATCCAGTGTAATTGTGGTGTCATTACATTCTTACACGTATTTATATAAGACCCTCGGTTATCAAGACAACGGCATACCTTGAAGAGTACCACAGTTCAGACACTGAGTCAGAAGAGACAGACGACGAAAGTAGCCGTCTCAACGAAACAGATAGCGAAGACACTGAAAGGGAACTGTATGCGTTCCCCGTTGAAAGAACAATGAGGAACTTGACTCAAGGACGACACAATCGATATGACAAGGTTTTTCCTCCGGGACAGAGCAAGAACCTAAGGAAAACAATGAGAGAGAAAAGAAGAGAGAAAGCGCACCTAGTCCCACTCCCAAAAGAGATCCTCCCAAAGCTAAGTCTAAGGGCGCTGAGCCAACACCAACAATGCCAACAAGCAACAGGCAAGCAGAGCCAAGGGAAAAGAACAAAAGCCTAGGGAAGAATTGGGACAGTGAGATATAGTGATGGATGATGTGGATGACGTCCAAGTCAATAAGAAAACTGCAGAAAATGACCACAAACCGAATTTGAACTCCGACCAGAAGATTCTGGCGTGTCAACGCGTCTCTGAATTAGTGTCCAAGTTAAAACCTGAAAAGATTTTAGATACAGTCCTCAGGACTCCTATTTGTTTAGAGGTAGGAGAGCTCCTGGGAACGTCACGTGAACTTAGTGGAATTTTGGCAAACACTATCAAGCCAAAGTCTCTAGGTATCGACCCTAAAATAGAAGCTCATTCTGTGTGGACCAAAACACGCGGATTACTAATCAAGATCGCAATGCACTGTGATGGTCAAGCCATTAACGCTATTATTGATACTGGCTCTCAATTAAACATTGTTAACAAACACATTTTGAAAACAATCATTAACAGACCCATTGATATTGCTAAAAGTGTATCCATGAACGACGCAAATGGTGGTGAAGGCAAACTTAGAGGGTTAGTACAAAATGTGCCACTCAATTGTGGAGGTGTTAACACTCAGGCAAATTTGTTTGTCGGCGATCATGTGCCATTTAGCTTATTGTTAGGCCGCCCATGGCAGCGCGGGTAACTATGTGTCCATTGATGAACGAAAGGATGGAACGTGGTTACTTTTCAAAGATCCACTCAATTTAGAAGTCCAATACACATTACTATGCACCCCCGACAGAAATGATCCTAGCTGGGACTTTGAACCGTCCACCTGGATCAGCAGTTTAAACGATTCAACTTATTTTTATGGAATTAGCGAGAAATTACCCAATTGGGATGAGAAAAGCTTAAATAATCGAATTTCCGGCAATTCCCAGCAAACCACTCAAATAATCAAAAACGTGCTGAAAGCCAAGAAGGGAATTCATAAGCGGTTTGTCAGCGAAGTCCTGACTTACTCAGACCAGATCGAAATAAAACAAATTCAGAGGTCCATAAAGGAGGCCCAAAATTTAAGTCCCTGCCCCAACGCCTTTTGGTCCCACATCTGAAAACCACAGCGCGAGGCATCCACAAATCGACAATACATTTTTCTTTAGTGGTCAAGACCACGGCCACAAACTCCCAGACAATGCCAGATCACGTGTTCGACGAAACGCGTGCGGAACTGGCCGATTTCCTTTTCCAGAATCCCAGCAACTTCCGGTTCACCACCACAATCCACAACGACATGCTCACCCTCTCATTTCAGCCAAGTCCGTTGTAGAGACTCGCGTTTCTGCAGGCACATATGGGCACATTTCGCACCTTTTCACAACTCATGACAATTGGCCTTCAATGCACGACTTGCACCATCAGCTACATTTGACTTCTATCAGGTCCCTAGTCGTTTTACACATAACGCGCAGCTTTCCCGTGAAATGCGCCATAGGCGCGGCACTTTCCCGCACAATGCGCAGCATTCCCACATGCGCACCTTGCGCGCTTTCTCGCGCTTAAGCGCCCTGCAAGCGCCCTGCATTGCCCTGCATTGCCTATCATCCAGGAATGTCCCTCTATGTCCACCCACCTCATTGGTACGTCATATCCCTTGCCTCGTGGTTTGTAACAAGCATTGCAGTGTCATTACATGTCATTACGTATTCATAGCACTTATTGCTCCTATCCCTTCCGCTTCCGATGCGATTTCCATAGTATAAAGTGGCTGACTTACTACTCCATCATTATTACTCCCCTTTGCTGTACTTCCCTTGCTATTGGGTTTTACCTCAAAGTAGTAGTCACCACTTGGGCACACTTTGTGTTTCCAATGGTTATCGTTATCCGCCTATACTAGACCTTTATCCGCGCTCGTTATAACACTCGCTCTGCGTTTGCACTTGCTTTGCACATCCGCTTCCTTGTCTGTTTCCTTATCTGGTATTCTCCGCACAACGCGCGCCTTAGCGCTCACGTTCCCACGCTCGCGCTTACCTTAGTGCGCTTTCTTGCGCTTCGCGCTCACTTCGCTTTTCTTCTTGCGCTTTCGCACATCCATCGCACTTCAAGGGTCTTTCTTTCATCTGGTTCTGTGTTCAGTAGCAGTCCCCTTAGGGTCGAATGTTCTTGCATTCTGCGAGTATAGCAGCTAGGCAGAGCCAAGACTCACTTATACTGGTTGAGCATTTTTAGATATTTCATATCAGCCCAGCCAGGTTGAGATCGCCTCACCGTTCTCTCCACTGCTTGACCCCGACGACAATGATATTCCTTCCCCCTCATACTCGCCTGTCCACTGGGACAGTGTGTCCACAAGGCAAGATGGCTCTATTTTAACGCCGGCTAGTGGTCTCATTCCTGTTAGCAGCTCTCTTTCACGTGCTAACTCTGTAGACTCTGGCCTGGGGAGCTTCTTGACTGAAGAACCTCCCAGGCAAGTCCTGACTGACGGCACTCTCCCAAATGGCGCTGTGGTGTTCAAGCTCGGGCTAGCCTCGCAGAACCCCATTTCGCTATAGGAGTCAAGCAGCCTGGATATCCACATCACATCCATACACCACTTCCTTGCAAAGTCTTGATGCACCCGACTCACCTATGTGGCGCTGGTCTATGTCCAACTTGGCCGATATGGATCTGTGGTCTCGGTCTCTCGCAGAAGAGCCAGGGTTGTCTTAACCGTCCCTTGCTCGTCGGATCGGCCATCGCGCACCTCGGCTGACCGTTCCGTCCCATCGGTACCGAATCCTCCCATGTCCTACCCATGTCCACCTATCTCCATTGGTGCGTTTTTAAGCTTATTTTACTGTTACTGAACGAACAGCAGGTGTGATTACATGTATTCCCATGGCCGCAGCACTCGCGAGCCTTATTACATATTGACCCGAGTACCTCGTGTTTTGCTACTACTCTTGCCTGTGTGATTCCGGACGTTCATGCAGTTAGATAAATAGGACTCAAGTTTCATATTATCACTTACTTCCCTTCCTCAGACATACCTGGTTACCGTTGTAGGAGTCACCTTAGTTAGTCTTTGATCGTGCAAATTGATCCCCCTTGCTTTTATCATCAGACATGCCTTGACCACTCTAAGTGCACTCTATCTAAGGTTTCTTTACCTAGGCCTTGTGAGATCCGGACCGCTACCAGTAGTCTTATGTCGGCAACCTATACCTAGTCTTACCTTGTCATACCTAGTTATACCTGGACTCTCCTTACCTCGGCCTAGACTTACCTGCCGCTCATCGGCATTGGACTCCTCACCTCGCATCGGTATCTTGCATCAGTGTCTTTCATCGGTATCTCACGTCGGGTTGTACCATCAGTATCCCATATTGCGTCGGACATTCTCGGACTTGGACCTTCGGTCGGTCGGATATCTCAGGTCTTAGATCTTAGTTTCTTCCTTTCTCTTCCCTCGCACTATTAGAAGGAAGTGCTTCAATAGGAGTCCCCTTGGGTCGATGTACTGCACTCGCACCCATTAGGATTTAGTAAGTTAGTTGGTATATTCTAGCTGACTACTATTTCTTTCACCACACCGGTCATTGCTAAAGCGGCTTTCCGTTAAAATTCCTTGGATAGCCTTGAAGCTGAAATCATACATAAGACAAAATGAGAACAGGCTTGCAAGTTGAGGCCAGTAGACTATTGTGCCCTATCTGTTGTGATGTTCACCATACCTCAACTTTGTCTCTTGGTCACATGGTCTAAACATTTGCCGGTCATTGCCAAAGCAGCTTTCCATTACAATGCCTTGGATAGCTTTGCAACTGAAATATACATAAGAAAAAATGAGAAAAGGCTTGAAATGTGAGGGCACTGCACTACTGTGCCTTTTCTGCTATGATGTTTGCTATACTTCAGCCTTGTCATTAACACCTCTTCTAAGTGCATATTTGCAGGGATCAATGGTCATTTATGTACAACACAAATTTCTTCTAGAATACATAGACATATTTAGCAAAAGCATAATTGCATCGGTTCTATAAGTCTCATGACTACCATGCCATGTACTCATGAATTTACTGATGGAAAGTTACTGTGGCAAAAATATTGCACTGATACATTAAGCCAGGTAATACAAGGGATAATATATAACGAACCAGGCTACCGTGTCGTATTAATGCAATAAAATAGGATAGTTAGCAGACAGATGTAATGCATTAACCATGATGAATGATGTAATGCATTTTTTTCGAGGTGTGTTGATGCATTAAATTGACCTAATGCATCATATCTCGGATTCTATTTATGTAGGTGTGTCGGTGCTATACTTTGTTATATAACTTGATGGTGTTGGGTCCTTCAACATGTTTGCTCGTGCTACCCACGCACTGCCAGTGCCCACTCAATGACTCGGGGCCTTTCATCTTGCCAGTGCTTGGTAATCAGACCATTGGGTTTGAAATTGTGATAACTTGGTGCGTTGGAAGTTAGTAGAAGAGCCACGGGTCAGTTCATTCATCTTATCATTGCTGCAGGGTGCTCATTATAACTTATAGATTCTGTGATGAATGGGCTACAGGTCGTTTGCTGCATCCAAAGCGCTCCACAAAGATGGAGATTATTTCTGCTGGCACAGACTTCAACATATCACTGGGCCACGGTACTGTACAACAACTGCACCAGTTATGCAGCATTGACCTTTTCATAGGAAAGCTATCACTACTAGCTATTTCCACCAGTGTGCTCGTGTGAAGGGTATCAGTGAGTATGTAAATATTCGCACTGGTCTTCCCGACGCACCCGCATCCTACGAGTGCGCTTTATCGTCTTGGATGTATGTGATTGATTATTCTGTTTCTCAGTCTTGCTGATGATGACAGCGACAATATGTATACATTTTTTATCACGAGTTGATCTTGACTTCGAAGGAGTTCATGATGCAGGTCACTGCAATTGATACTATGTGACTAGGTATGACAATTTGTCTTACACATTCATCTTGGGGAAAATTAATGATGATTGTAGCTAAATTTTGTGCGTGTTCTACTCTGTCAAATTCAAGAACTTCAATGATCGTGGAATGCACCAACAAGATGGTTGAAAACTCCCCAGAAGAGCTGGATAAGAATCACAAGTCGCAAAGGGAAGGGAAGAGTACGTGGCCGATGACCTAATGAAATAACTATTTTATTATACTTGTTCAGGTCATGCGCATCAAGAGGCAGCGAAAGCTCTCGAAGTCCAGGGGTCGAGTGGAAGCAGCTCAAAGATCATTGTAACTGGTCGCAATATCCTGACCTTGCAGGCAAAGTTGGTTAGCCATCTAGAAAACGAGTCGGGATATGATGCGTATATCCATTCATAGCTTGCTTGTGTATTTCATTTTATATTTTTTGTTGCAACTGTCGCATTCTGAGATAAACATGTGTGTACAATGATCTGTCACGCTGGTGAATGCCGGAGGGCGAAAAAGCCAATTCTGAAACATCCTTTCAGTCAAGTGGTAGTTTTTGCGCTTGAATTTTCTTTAGATCTCGTCAAACAGCACAATTGAGGGACTTTCAGATGCAGTATAACAATTGGTATTTACAAAAACAACCTGAGCTGATGTACGATCCTACAGATAAGTTGACATGGTATACTAGTAGACATCGAGCACCAGCAATCGAAAACAAGTCTGTATTCAAACGTGCTTCTGTTTCCTGTCATAGAAGTCCAGTGAACAACTATATGAGGAGAAGTAGTATAGAAACAACGGTCTCACTTTCTGGATTGCAGGCCTGCACCAGCGGCATCAGCCTTCTGTCGCTTGTTGTTTTCTTTATCAACAGAGATGGGCAGGCGTACATGTGCGCCTGATGACCCGATTGCATTAAGAACATGCTCATGTGTGGACGGAACACGGCAGCGTGAAGTTCGACATGGACCTTCCTTGAGCTCTTCCTGACCGGTGATTACACCAGTAAGAAGGTTAGATATGTTGGGATCTGCCATGTTGATGCCAGAGGTGCTTGTGCCAGGAGGTGTAGTAGGCAGTAAGTGATTAAAATATGTCAGCGGTTGTGAAGTTTGATGTGGACCTTCCTTGAGCTCTTCAAGACCGGTTATTACACCAGTAAGAAGGTTAGGTAAGTTGGGATCTGCCATGTTGATGCCAGAGGTGCTTGCGCCGGGAGGTGTAGTAGGCAGGTAAGTGATTGAAATGCGAGAGCGGTGTGTTACTCGGTATGCTACTAGGCATGGCTGTATTACCCGAAAATAGACATGGAATACTATCCAACAGTTCCTGAGTACCGAGCGGGGAATTTTGATAACTAGACAAGTCGGAGGAGTCATACATGAAGCTAAAGTCAAGATCTTCAAGACAAGGTGGGGTATTGGTCATAGTGAATGGGTCATAGGGCCCCAGCAGCAGGCTTGCGAAGATATTGTCAACAGTCTGAGTCATGTCGAAGTTGGAGATGTCGAGCTGGTCAGAAGTGAGAGGGACAATTGGTGCTCCCATAGTGGTGGTCCTAGCGCCTGAAGGTGTTGATTTGACAGTAAACTCTTGGTCGTCCTACATGAGTTGAAGGTAATGCATTACCAGAATGGCAGAAATGCATTAAAACGTTTGATGCATTAATGGTGGGAATTCAACAAATAATTAATGCATTACTTACCGGCACATTGAACTGATAAAGGCTGTTCATCCCCAGCTCAATATCCCCCATATCCTCCTCAACAGCCTTTTCCTCGCTGCTACCCTCCCAAAAAATCTCCTCTGACTTGTTGGGCACCTCATCTGAAGTGGTACCGGGATCCAGTGCTAGCGCTAGCATCTTGTCATCGTGTGCTGATTGAACACGGTAAGTAACATCATCATCACGTACTATTTGATAGATGCTTACCCATTGCCAATTTGATAAAATCTGCATAGGCTGTCTGAACTTCGCCAAACCCAGCATATTGGCCCGAAAATTCAACCCCCATCTCTGTCTCCCCAAGATGGTAGCTGTATGATCCAGTGAGTTATAGGTTTCAGCGTGTGAGAATTCAATACTTACTCAAGAACGATGATTTCTCCCGTTGTTGGGTGTCGTCCTCCTGCAATACAGGTGAACTTAAGTCCACCCGTCTTATGGGACAGGTGGCGGAAGATGTGATCAAGATGTGCTCCAAGTTCACTGAAGGCTCTGCGTGTATAGGTGAGACCAAGTCATCCGATATGAATCAGAACATACCTAATCTTCTCCTCTTGTTCAACTTCTTGCACACAACCAGCTTTGGCTAGTTCACATTTTTTTTTCCAGATTTCAAGGGCTTCTTGGTGCCTTGCTTGGACCTCAGCTTTTATGCCATCGTCTTCAACAGCATATCTAGTGCGAGTGAGGTCCTTTCGTTTTGCAAGCTTTCGGCCACATGTCATGATACCCTCAGCCTTGATTGCTGCATCTGCTTCACCCTTCACGTGCTCATCGTAGAAAATCTGTGAGTATACTTCTACTTCTTGTGGCGCTCGTCCTGATACCTCATCTCCTCCACTCAGAGTTGCACTCACATCAAGCATCCCTTTCGATCCCCCTGCTCGCGCAAGACATGCAACATTAGTCTGCCATCTATACCATACTTTGAGCTGCTAGAAAGTCTCGCAGGTTAGTAATTTGCAACCAAATTTTATGCATTGAATACTTACTTCTTTATGATGTTCCTTGGCATCAGTCAGTACTTCTGCCTGGGCTGTTGTGAGGTCTCCCTCCAAAGGGACACCCATATGACCTTTGTTGCGCTCTGGCCATCACACTTTGAATGTGCACCATGTGACATGAAAGAATACCGTGTATACTTTCGTCTATTGACAAATAATATACTTGCTAAGTTTGCTTAACAGGAATTCTTCCTGTTCTGCAGTAGTCCAAGGCTTCGGCCCTCGACGACATGGCTTTTCTTCCTGTTCTGCAGTAGTCTGAGGCTTCGGCCCACGACGACATGGCATTATCAAGTAGACGAGCGGGATGTAGGGAATGGTAGGTCCAGAGCCAGTGGGGGTGAAAATGAATTTACAGAAATCAACGGATCTTAAAAGGCTCTGCTGTTCTGCTCGTTTTTCGGTGGCTAAACACTAGCGTACCATATATTATTTTCAACGCAAATTGTAGAAGTTAACATTTGATCAAGCTAAAAGGGGTCTGACTCGGTCAGCACACATTAATTAAAGATATTTCGCTGGATGGTAGCACTCTGTGACAGGTACACTACTCTCACATTTTGAATGTATACGCTGTCATGCATGGTATGGAGTTCATACCATGACATATACGAATAGTAGTATAAAAGGAGATAAGTAGAGGAGTGTACAAAGGATATACTTCTTACTTATGTAAGCTTTGTTTCTATTTATTTAGTTGTATTTGTAGTTTCTGTCTCTTTCCATTTGTTCTTGTTTATTCAGCCACTTGATTACATCAGTGAGCCATTCAGATATGTTTGTAAGCATGTCATGTGACTGGTAATATTCTGATTTGTAAGGACTTTCCATGACTCATCATGTTTTGTCATGATTCGTCATGCTTTGTAATATTTTACAGTGCTTTGTAATAATTTACTCATGTACTTTAGTAAGCAGCTGATTCAGCACACCAAAAGGCTTGGTTTGTAAGCATAATCTTACCAATCCAGTGATGACTCATTGCTTAGTAAGGATGGTTTCTAAAATGTATATAAGGACTCCATTCTCACATAATATATTAAGTTTTTCCCCTTCCATTCTTTTCCCAAACCGTGTGGGAACATAGGAATTTGAAGTCAGGAGTTTTCCCACTTTCTGTCTCAACACTGTGAGATCACAAAGAAAGTGAAGGCCTACGAGTTGCCTTTGAAAACAATCGTATTCTTTTAGTCTAGATTGATTGTATACTATCTTACAGGGATCGCCTATACAATAATCTATTGTTTTATCCATTGTTTACGTATTCCGTGCCACATTCAGTTCAGAGAGGTCCATATTACCTACTAGGTTTCAGATAACCTGACAAAATATACATACTCCTTTACTATCAAGAAGTGATCTAGCAAAGAAGTAATTTATTACCCTTTGGCCACCCATGAACACCACGTTATCAACCGAGAAGTAGAAAATCTGTTGACTGTGACTTGAGGAGCTGGCACCTTAGTCTTAAAGAGTACAATTGTGATAGTCATTGTATTCTGATCAACATATAAGACCCTCAAGTAAGAAGACAACGCTCTGCTATGAAGTCAACCACTGCTTATGTTTGACTCTGATGTTTTCAAAGGAGATAATATTTGAGTGCAGCTCAGACTGTAGTGATCTGAATGAATGTGTCAATGTGTGAATCTTGTAATCCGTTGTCTAGTGGAACTTCAACAGCCCAGCACTTGGGGCTTGAAGGGGTATAGTTGGCTTGTCAACAAAATAGTATTAAGCTCAGCGTTGATACGTTGTACAACGGCCCAGGCTAGGCCAACCAAGCCGAACATGATAGTATTACAGCAGTTCACATAACCATCAAATCTCCTGCGTGTAATCCTCTATCATTACTGGTGCATTTCAAATTCGTGCAGCAAGAGTCCTAGACAAACCATGAGGGTGGGCAGGCCACAGCAGCTTATGGCACACAATCGGGGGGACATTCTGTTGCAAACATAATGAAAGTGGTCCCCAAGTAAAAGGACAGTCAAGCATGCTGCAAGCATGGAACAGTAAGTAGGTACAGAACAGTAAGCAGCGTGGAATAGTAAGCAAATGTGACAGAATGAGAGTGGATTGGAGCTTAACTTGAAGTCAAATCAAGAACTTGCGACTTGGCATAGTGACAGAAGGGTGAAAGAGGTCGAAAAACTATGACATTGTGTAGCGCTAGATGGCACATTGAATCGCTCCAGTGTGCCCTGAATTTGGTACCGATGGAAGTCTTCCATGCGTCGTTATAATTTTGAAATCGCGCTTCCAAGAGATTAGTGCAAGTTGGAAATGGGTGGGCAAGATACATACATACCGACTCGGAAATCCATTATGAGGGAGTTTAGGTAGTGCCGAGAGGCAAGGATCATGCTATAAGGTGCACATGCTGTATCCTCAAGGCGACCTTTTGCTCCTGCATATCACATGAAAAGTCCATTCAAGCTTCAGAAATAACTTACTTGTCAGGGGAGGCTACTAGCCTTAATATTGTAAGACAAGATAACTTTTGGCATTGACTCGGACACTGAGGAAACCTGCACTGGCCTGTCGAACAAATATATCACTGAAAAGGTTAAGCTGCACCCAGATATAACACTTACTAGCACTCATGATTAGTTCCGAAGTCACGAGAACAAGCCCTTCAAAGTCTGACAGCTCGAGGAGCCAGTACAGTATTAATTTGAATTGTCATCCCAAAGTGGTAACTTGCCTTACTCGTTGAAACCGGCGTACGGGTAACAGACATAGTACAATGTTCAATATTAACAGTGTTCAAATGGTCATTGCTTATACCTATAGTACTGTTCTCGCTGTTTGCGGCAATGGCACTCGGGAGTCTTTTGGATGGGCCCTATTATGTCAATGTATCCAGTAAGTCCATCACATTCAGAGCAAAGTCAAACGACTAATACATTTTGAGGACATATGTTTTTTGAGGACATATGTTGTTCCCACCTTGCAGAATAACTGTAAGTCATGGGCTAGCGTTGTTTTGTACCAGTCTTCCTGCCCTATCAAAACTTGTGTTCTGGGCCATTCACATCGAATTCACACTACTAATACTTATTGAGGGCATTGTGCCCGCCTTCCAGAATAACCAAGTTATGGGCTAGCGTTGTCTTGTGCAGTCTTCCTGCACTATCCAATCTTGTGTTCCAGGCCCAGTAAGTCCATCACATTCTTAGCAATGTCTTCATCTAACGTGTCTCCAAATACCATTAGTGCCAGCAATGTTCCTAACAACACCGCCAACACTACTACGATGTCGGAAATTTCCCGCGTGCCTTCGAATTCAATTTAAGACATTTTAAGGGACCTTTTCACACGGCACACTTACAATGCATGTTAATGGTGTATGATAAAATTTCAAGGCACTTATAATGCCTGTCCAAATTATGTTAAGGCATTGTAATGATCCTGGGTAATGCGGGATGAGCCTTACATTTTAAGGCCATGAAATGATAGTGTAAGCATTGTAAAGGGTAGCAAGGCAAATTCAGACAATTTCAAGACTCGTCGCTTGTATTTCGATGCTCTCGCTGGAATTCCCAATTAATATTAATATTAATAATGGTAATAGTAATAATAATAACAAAAAAAAAACAAGTGCGAGCGGAAAGAGTATTCAGCGGTAAGGAAGGTAATAGAACGATGTTGGTACTATCCAGTGCAAGATTATTAGTGAAGCTGAGTGCGAGTGGTAAGGAAGATAGAATTATGTTGCCAATGGTATCCAGCAGAGTGGTGAAGCTGAGTGCGAGCGGATGTGTGAGGTGAATGGGAGTAGGAAGACGGTCCTAAGGAAGGTAGAATTATGTTGGTATCCTGGACCAGTGCGAGAGTGGTGAAGCTGAGTGTGAGCGGATGTGTGAGGTGAATGGGAGTATTATTGGGAAGACGGTCCTAAGGAAGATAGAATTATGTTGGTATCCAGCATAATAAGAATAGTAGTAAAACTTACCATGATGTTGAAGGGTGGCATTAATTGATGCAGTGCGAGCGGATGCATGTTACAGTAGTCGATGAAGGAATTTTCGGAGCTGATGACGACGTCTGTTCAAAGGAGGAAATGGTTGAAATGAAAGAAGTCTTAATGGAAGCGTTGATAAGAAAAAAGCTCAACTTGTTTGGCCTTGTGATTATACTACCCTAATTGGGATGACTTAGAATGCGGCTGAATCAAGAGGTGCGCAATGTGCTGTTGGGCGGGGCATCCGAGAATTAATAGCTGTGAGACGCATCAGCGTGCAATATGGTAGTCAGGTAAATCAACTTGCATGGTGCAAAAACTCCGTTGTGTAGGTAAACAAATCAGAGGGTGACAAGATCAACAAATTTAAGTAACTACTTTCTCCCTGACGCCTTCCTCGCTGTCGTTTTGGCACCACCATTGCGTGTAACACCGCTTGACTGCTGGAGGAGGAGCCAAAGGAATGACAGGGACCACATCTGAGTCCACGGGAGTCTGAGCAGCCTGAGCAATAGCTCGACGTTGAGCTGCAGACACCCTACCACCCTTGCCAGAAGATGCGGATGGTGGCAAGTCAGTTCTAGCGGCATCGAGCGACAGCTGACCAATGTCAACTTCGAGTTGGAGTTGCATGGTGGTGGCAGGCCCTCCTGGATTGCTGATAGACATAGATGTCGGAGCATAAGTAATGTGTGAAGATGTCGATGACGGAAGTTGTGGTGCGGAGGCAGGATCTTCTAACTGCTGTAAGAAGTCGTCTTCCCAGGTGTGAGGTTGGGAAGCAGAGGGTAGAGTAGCAGTACCACTAGTAGCTAGGACTGAGCTCGTGCCGAAAACCTCCTGGTTGTAATAGTTGATCACACTCGTAGCCCATGGGCTGCGCTTGAATAGTCGCTCCAAGTAAAAATCAAAGTCTTGTGCATAGTCAATTTTCGTGGCTGGTCCGGTTGCAGTGAGCTCTTGATCATGTGTTAACAAAAAACGCGCCTGAGAATGAGACGAGATCAGCATGCATGCAAAAGTTCGAAGATTATACTAATGCACTCACCACAATAGCAGCACCTGCAATCAGACCTTCCGTGACACACTGCGTAGACCAACGCTGACCCCTGGCCTTCGGATGTCCTTTGGTCTTCCCAGACAGTGAAAGCCTTCCCGAAGATTTCGACTCGGATGATCTGAGGGATGGAGTTAGTATTAATGTACTGCTCGACAGCAAGCTGAAAACGTCGCGCACCTTGGCCATGACTGGTGTTTTGAGGAAGTTGTCTGGAACGAGAGCAGAAGGATCCATGAACAGAATGGGGGCTAGACGTGTATACTTTTCTGCACCGACATCCTTCTTTAAAAGAGTGAGAAGTTGCGCATTCTCCTTCTTTTTGGCAGGCTCGTCAGTGAAGACAGTCGGGTCGAGTTTTAAAGTAGAGAAGATAAGACCAGTGCAGTCCTTGAGACTATGCAGTATGTTTGACCTCTTGGAACTAACTGCAGCGCGAAACTAGAGTATCTCATGCGTAAGGGTTGATGCGCAGACAGAGGGAGAATCGGACATACCACTGATCCAAACTGTGGGTAGGTCTCCATCGGTTTATGCAAAGCCTTGGGAATGCACTGATATAGCTCGGCCATTGCACCATTGAGCTTCGCTTCAAGGCGAAGACCAACGCGTATCACTGCGTGGATCAACGTCTGGCTGGGGTTTTGTCGGAAAGAGCCCGCTCATGACCCAAAAGTAGTTGAGCATGGCGTACATCTTGCCCGCACGGGTAATGTCATTGTCGATGGTTGATGTCTTCTTAAGGACTCAGTTTCGGCTGCGTGCAGGGATAGCAGCCTGAAGCATCGCATGGTCTTTCTTGAGAGCGCGCAACTCAGACCGAACCACAGTATAAGCTTGTTGCGCCAGTTCTAGTGCCTAGAGATTCAACTGCTACATCAACCGAACCAAGAGAATGGCAGCATGAGTAAACTCACCTTGCGGACTTCGTGCATGGGCACGTCAGGCTGAGGAATTGTCAAGACTGTCCTCAGGGTGTCGAGTTCGCTCCGTGCATCAACTCGTTGTCTTGCTCATCATTTCCAGATTCGGACTCAGTATCCTCAATAGCGTCGAGTTCTGCTGCGAAGTCGTCTGAGGAATCTCCAGCCTGGGGCATGACAATGAAACTAAGACACAAGAAAGTTAAGTCTGAACAGTGGAGATGAGGCACAACAATTTCACTTGCCTGGTTCCATGTTATAAAGACGTGACCCTGCACAGGGCCAGTTGCTCCGCAGCGTCTTGCCGTCCTTGCTGTTGACATGCGGCATGTTTAGTTCAGCCTTGGCAAAGTCGACATGTAATAAAAGCTGCAGGTCGTTTGACTTAAGTACTGATTACTATCAAATGACTAATGACTCACCCTGATATCGGTCCAACTAGGAGTCAGTCTACCACGAGGGCAGTGTCCATACCATGGCTATTATGACATGTATTATTAGTGTAGTTAAGATAGAAAAACACGACAATTTGGACTTACAGTGGGACAGATACCGGAACATGCTGGGATTCGGCCTTGGGACGCGCTGGTGAGCCGGCCTGATTGGACTGGGAAGGATCAGCAGGGGAGACATCTGCACGTCTGTGGATTGATGTGCTGTGCCATTAAGTGTTGCAGTATTATTGGCAGCAATGCCGTTTGGTGCAGCGATCAGCCTGACTGAATCGCCATCTGACGTAGGAGTGCCAGCATGGTTTCCATTGACTCCGTTCGTGGAAGCGGCGCAAGGGGGTGAGGGCTGCTGCTGCACTACAGTAGGCGAACTCGGGGATGCAATATTCCCAACAACCGGAGGACGCATGGCACCGTTTGATGAGATGCGCATTTGCGGAATGGCAGATGGCGGTTGCATCGCTTTGACATGCGCCTGCATGAATATCGGTACATAGACTGGTGACGTCGTGGAAAGGAAATGTTGGGTGTTGATAAGCATTCTAAAACAAACAGGTAAGCGCTTGAAGAATGTACTGCATGTAGTCCTACCTCCACCACGTCCTCATACCCGTGGTCACGTTCCTTTTGGGCTTCTTTGCTACTCTTTCTTTGTCAAATGAAAGCTCTTCGTCCTCTGAGAAGGCGTTTCGGGGGGGGGAGGGGTGTTGGAGGTGTTTGGAGGGTCGGTTAGCGAGGAACGGCACGTCGAACTTTGCCGATGATTTCGATGATTTCGCCCCTGCCTGTGCCTAAGCCCATGCTTTGCGTTCGCAGTAGCAGTTAGTACCCAACGAGGGAAATTTGCGCTTGAGCTCGGCAAACTCAAGTGCTTGTCCCAAACCTGTAGCGTTTGCTGTGTGTAGTCGCGCTTAAGATTTTCTCGACAAAGGAGTGTTTTGGCGAGCTCCAGACCCTGCATCAACTCGTAGATGTGGGAGAGCGGAGCTGAGCAGTGCATGGTGTGGGCAGAGGAGATGGCTGTGTCGTTGGAGATATGGGAGAGCAGAGCTGAGTATTGGTGCAGAGACACTTTTTCTGCGTCGAATACCGGCTCTGCGAATGTGGATTCGGCCTCAAGTGTAAGAGGGTTGACGTGAATAGTGTCCAGCAAGCCATTGATTGCCTGCCGACATTTGCGAAGAAGAGGTAGATCCATCAAGGCCAGCGCAAAATGTGCTGACCTCACCCTGGACAATACGTTCAGCTGATTCCCTTTCGCAAGTGGACCCAGGGCAACCCTTCTCCCGTGAGACCAACTCTGGGACCTTGGTGTGGATAGCTTCCAGATAACAGAGCGCTGTTTGTAGAACGTTGCCTGACGTCATGGTGCGGGAAGAGGAGATGGCTGTGTCGTTGGAGATATGGGAGAGTGGAGCTGAATCAGAGTGCAGTCAGACGAGGTGATGTTAAGAAAAGAGAGATCCACGTACATATCTGGACATTGTAGTTCTGATTCAGGGTGCTAGAGGTGGAAGTGAAATGGACGAGACATTGGAGCTCATCACTGGCGTGCTGGACGTGGACTTCATGCGCACAAACATGTCACTATCGATGTGGTCGACCACGAGGAATTCATCTCGGTGATCAGGATCAGGGAAACAAACAGCGCCACGAATGAAAGACTGGACTGGAATGAAGATTGAACTTGCCCTTGGACGGCCTTTGACACGAGTAAGTCCGTAGATCACGGTCCACCTGCGAGAAGCACCAATGCCAGCAGTGAATGGCGGAACCAGTGCAAACTCGAAGGAACCAACATCCAGAAGCTGACAACTGAATATAAAAACAAGGCGAACAAAGACCGATACTTCCTGAGTGAGTTTTATAATTGCACAGTCATAGCGCGGGTGCCATGGAAGCTTGGAGTGCATCGGAGGTAGTCGGTAGTTTTTGCTTCCAGTCGACGGAAGACTCGTAGTGAACTTTGAGATATCGATGTTCGCGAATCTAGTTCAGAAATACATAAATCAGTACAAGACATTTTACAAAACAAGATCAACTCACCAAGAAGTTTGGTGGGTATGGTAACCCATCTCTCCAGTCGATATCCGTACGTCGGTAATGAGTTGTTGATAAAGTCAGAAAACTTCTTATGAAAGCCTTGAAACACCCCGATCCATTGGCCGCTGTGGTTCTCAATGTCTTGGATGGCTACGGGGCTGTTGGTGTCGAACCAAGTTTGATGTGCCCCCTCGAAAGCACGGGATTCGGGACTTCATCGTCATCATTGCCCTCTTCTGCCAAGGTGCGCCGGTCGTCAAGTACGTCCACGTGCGCTCTCAACATTTTGACTGCGAATTTGCGCTTGTCAACACGGAGTATCTAACGAGGTCTTTACATGAGTGAACATCAGATATATGATGTTAGAAACATACCTGGTCCAGCGACATCCTTTCCATTCAACTGGCGCTCGTAGGCCTCTTTGAGGGGGCCATGAAGCTTCTCATTCGGACGGGTGCTGTGAGTTGCGTACTACACCCTTCATTCGGATGTCCCTAGTTGCGTGCTCCAGAGATGCGCCTTTGGAAGTCCAGTCAAGCTTAAGACCCTCGATGGGAGAATTGAGGAGCGCCTTCGATGTAGTCTAGAATGTTTGATCAACAATCTATTTAAAAAGTGAATGAACAAAACATTTACCTTGAGTGCGCTATCAAAAACGAGTAGTTCAGCATCATTGCTGCCAGCGTGCTTGATGTAATGCACGTCGAGACCGATATAGCTGTCCAATTGCAGATAGCTGCTAATAACGTGGAGAAGTTTGTACCCTTCTGGGCTCGTCCTCTGGTTGAAGACGTTTACCACAGAATAAAAGATTGCTGCGCAGCAATCAGTATTAGAAAGCCAAAGCTCATGATACGTACCTTGGATAGATCTTGCATCTTGTACCATCACTGAAGGTAATGGGGATGACGGTGCTGAAATGATTAAGATTGCGCCATCGAGGGGAACTAGCAACCCTACCGAAGGTCATGAGTTGATGAGGAATCGCGATGTGAATGACTTACTGTTCTCAACCTTTGACTCTTCATCACGTCCAAGTGCTTTGAGGATTTTCTTCAACTCCTCGAGTAGGTGCCTCCACATGCCAAGATGGAGGGCATGAAGGCGGTCAAAACTGATGGCTTGATGAGGATCAGAGTGGGAAATGAGCCAGAAAAACATTCTGTTGATGTATTAGCGAAGATCAGAATTGTATGGGATAACGAGATATGAAGGATATGGGCAGGAAGAGGAGAATTATCAGATAACTAAAACACAGAACTATGGGGAATCTTGCTGGAGGTCCAGTGCGCGAGCATCCCTCTGCTTTAAAACAGCGAGAGCGGCAGTCTAAAAGGATTGAGGTCCAGTTGCGCGAGCATCCCTCTGCTTTAAAACAGCAAGAGCGGCAGTCTGGAAGCTACTCTGCTTGAACCTGTAATTTACAAAGCAAGCGGAGGCGAAACGAGAGAGTGAATATCACTGCTGACTTACCGTGACAGCGCGCAATCCTAATGCCTTGAGAAGTTCCTCGCCTCGAGCTTTGCTGACCTTGTAAACATTGAGTGCGGCTATTGCTTCTTCCACTGATCTAAATGCAAACGTCTTTGATAGCTCGCTAAGTTCCTCGAGTGGTACAAGACATACCGGACAGGGACATTTGCTATGGTGGCCGCGAATGAGAGACATCATGCATCTAGAAACAGTCTGATATCAGATTGCGGACACTGTGTGTAAGAATACAGAACTTACTGTTCTTCATAATCAGCAGATAGTATCAGAATAATGGGAAACAGCCAGCGCGCGATCTTGTCATAGCAAGTATGTGAATAGCCAGACTTTGAGTATTGCGACCAGTTCCAACAGCTTTAAGAATGCCTCGTGCCATACGACGCGCTTGAGGTTTACGAACCCTGGCTTGCCTTCTTCGTCTGCATCTTCAGATACCTGCAACTATAATGAGTCACGTCAGAAGATTCAATCAGAATGTTGACGTACGATTGGCAACCACCCGACAACACGGCCACCACCAATACCCTCTCCGTTTCGTATGCCAACTGGCAAATTCGTGCAGGACCACGACAGGATATCCCTTTACTGTACCATGGGACGACAGTCTTGTCTTGTCCGCTACAGGATGAAGCAGAACGGAGCAGCCTTAATGTCATTTGGAAGGCGACTCTGGTTTGTTGATGCTGAGTGAGAGTGGATAGTAACATTAAATAGATATTACATGCCTGTATGTCCCACCATCGATCACCCGTCCACGGCTCGTTGTAAAAGCGTTCAAACTCCCTGCCGTTATGCTTGAAAACTTGTTGTGCGTCCCAGACAAAATGCGGAGCAAGCAGCGGATTAGCTAGCAAATCAAGGGCCCAGTCCCACAGAGGCAGCGCGTGGGTCTCATATACTCGTTGTTCTTTCTTATAAGGAACGGTGATGTCGTGTTTTACAAACTAATTCACAACATATATCATACAAAATGTGAGATTAATTAATGACATACCGGCGTCACCTGAGCCGTTGCGTGTTCCCAAGCTTTGCGCAGCTCAATGTCATTTTTAAAAGTGACTCGGCTCTCCCCTCTCGATATGCGGCCAATAAGCGCAAGGAGCCCGTCAATGTGTGACTTGTTGAGGGCGGCATTGAGTGCGATCTCCGCAAACTCGAAGTCACCACGGGAACAGAAAGGACGCCAGGGCTCTTCATCTACGGGAAGCTCTTCCTCAGGGCGTGTATTGACGCCAAACTCCTCAAATGTTTGAAGGAGCGGTTCACGACGAGCAGAAGGATGATAGACCGTTTTGAATTCAATGGGTTGTGGAGGAGGTATTGCAGGTTGCGGTTCAACAGAACCTCGCTGGCTGTTGGCTATGCAAAAGAATCAGTAAGCGATACAGGTGAATATGGTGCACGCTTACCTAGGCTACCAGCACCTTCGAAGTTGCCATCGTAAGCTTCGAAATCACCAGCGTTTGGGTTATCTGCTGGCAACACAGAGTCAGCTAGTGTCAGTTGGCATTGTAGGGACACGCAAAGAATATGCGAGACATACCTAGAGGACCATGATCTTTGATCGCAGGGGGCGCGTTCTGAATCCCAGCGACTGATCGCGATGGGCCAGCGCTGGGCGTTATCATGCCCATGTCAGTGTAAGCCTGCTGCCGAGCTGCATACCTCAATATTGTCAAAGGAAACCATCAAGAATGGGTAGCAGAGGACTCACCTCTCCTCTGATCTCGTGCATATTGAAGGGCAAACTCTGCTCGTTCTGCCTTGGTGTCCTTCTGCTTCTTGCAGCTTGCTTCGTGCTTCTTGAAGCCTTGGGTCTTGAACTTCTTGCTACAATGCGGCATGAAAGCTGCCCTGTCAGAGTTTCTTCTGAGAAGTTGTATTTGCTTCGATGAGTGCGAGAGGGACCCATGCTGATAGCGACGATGCATACTGTACAATCGATGAACATTATTGTTTATCGATATCATTTCATAAGACAATCTCACGCTTGTGATGACCTCAGCCGCCCTTGAAAGGCACTTGTAATGTACCTTTTAATGCACATGACCCAAGTCGTAAGCCGGCAGCATTACAATGGCATGTAACTTTTTCCGACATGATGTCAGTGATGGTTCAAACATGGACCAGAAGATTGTTTACCTTGACATAGAAAATGCCACATGCGTAGCAAACACCCAAGGTGGGGAACAAAGCAACAATGACACAGCTGAATTGTAGCCTAGCATTGCACTCAACATTGGGAAAAAGGTGTTGAATGAAAGCAAGACATTCAAGAGCGTCATTGCAAGCACAAGCCACCAGACTTTCCAATCTGTTCTTTGGCTGTGAGCCAGGAACGCAATGTGGTAATGGTAGGGAAGTCAGGAAGGATGAATATGGCGCATATTGCAATGCAAATTGTCATAGAACCTTCAGTGTAAAACAGCCATCTTACGAGTGATGCTAAGAACCAGATCGACAGGAAAATAACACCACCTACCTCCAAGCAGTGAGGCCCATGACTCCATCCATGTTGTCCAGGATGGCTGATGCCAAGAGTGACCCAAAGGCATTACCGATCATGATACCTATACAACCAAGGTTGGGTGCATCAAATTTAATATTGAAAGAAACTGACCACAGCTTTATATTGCTGTTCCTTGGCCAAGCTCTCTTCGCTTGTACCTGAGTGATGTCAGTGCGAGGAAAAGTCATATCCTTCTTTTCAGTACTCACCATTTAGATAGAAGAAATAAGCACCAGGAAAGAATGCGGCTTGACACAGCCCAGGAAGAACCGAGTGCATACAGCTCCAAGGAAGCTTCAGAACTTCTTCAGTTTGTGTACAACCCAAAAGCAAGAAACTGCACCCCCTCGTCATTCCTGTTTTTTTAAAATCAACATCAATAGTCTTCTTGCTCAAGTGCTGAGCTGACCCGTCAGGATTGATATTGTCCTCAAAGCCACGTAATCTAGCTGCACTTTTACGTGACGAGCAGAGCTGCAACTTCAGCTATGATATGAAGATCGGCATGAAACATGAACCCACACTGTCTTACTAGGATGTGAAAGGCAATAAAAACACCAAATTTCACTTATCCTCCACGGTCAACGGTTCAGACAAATACCAACGGTTGATAACGTGGTTGTTCGTGGGGGCGCAAATATAGATTGTGTTCTCCTTGAGCAAATTTACCAATGACTAAAAAAAGGGGTGAGATATTCGGGAATCTCAGGAACAATGTGCCCGTTAACTGGCTTAATGCAGTACTTAGGGTTCTTCAGGGATAATGATGCGACAGTACGCAGATTACGGAAAGTTATGTGAATTACAGTGATACGTGGTGAGTCAGAGTGATATGTCTGGGATACTCCTTATTCTCACAATCAGGGGAGATCAAACTAGGAGTCGGATACAGTTGAATCAATCAAATACTTGGCTTCAAAACCGACCTTTCTGCTGCTCAGGATCTCACAGTGAGTAATGACGCAGTCCAGACTAGAATACACCTTCTTGATGTAGTCTTAAGTGGCCAAGCTCTTAATATTGTTGACTAAAGTATAAGTCCTATTTATCGTCCTCAATCGTTAAAGTACGTGGATTTCTCCCCACAGAATTGATTTCCTGTGTCGTAAAGAGAATTGCAGTGAAACTACACTAGACGACTAGTAACCGTGCACTAGCTAGAGTAATTTAATGTGACTTAGAGGTGGCCTCAGGTAGTCAGAACGTCGTGGGAAACAGTGACAAAAGAGTGGAGGGAATAAACTAATATTCACTCAGTATTCACACAGATATTAAGGGGTGAGAAACTTTGAGAGATACGCAAACTCTCTAAAAAGGGATCTTATTATTCAAAGAGGGAAACTATGTCCCTTTATATACTACTCTACAGGTGGCTATGCAACTACTAAATATGGAATAGTGACTCATAATGACTCCATGTGACTTACTATGACTCAGTGTCCAAATGTTCACTTAGAGATTACCGCTATTTCGGAACTGTCCAGAAACTATGACTAATCATTAAACAAAATGTAGATTACGTAAGAAGATTGACACTGCTCAGATGATGACTGCGCAGATGTTGAGATGTTAAGATGTTAACACGAATATGGCTCATTAGGTGGGAAAATGTACGAGAAATCCCGAAAGGTGCGGGAATGTGCTTACTAATGAAAGGATAAGGTTTTTAACACAGTTGTTGACTGTGCTAAGTACGTAATATGAATGATTAATTCATGTAGCTATGAAAAACCTTCAAGAAATTATAGTAAATTGTAATAAAGCCATAAGAAATTAGAACTGCCTTTATTGGCAGTATTAGATTGTACGAGAGTATGTTATGTGTCCGTGATCATGTACAAAACAGGTTTCGTGCGTGTGTCAACGCTGCATTATTGCGATCAATCTGCAGTTGTCAGATTATCATCCAAAGTCAGTAGGTACAAACTTGGCTCACATAGTTTAAGATATAAATGAGGATGAGGATGGACATCCTGAGGTCAACTTTACGGAGAAGATTTTGTTCCACACGCTGTCTGTCTGGGAAATCATTGTAATTGGTATCCTGCAAGGTGATATCGTTGTCCAGGTCACCCTCGCATG